TATATATCGTCACAAACAGAACTGCCCGGTAAAACCGTAGGCAGAGAGAGAGAAGAGGACAACAAACGAGGGGCTGTGACAAACTGTTTCGTCGGAGTTTCACCGACTCATCAGGAGGCTGAACCCTCAACAGTCTGCAGTATCCCCTCACTGATTACACTGTAAATGATAATCTAACTTAACCAAAATCAAAGTATATATATACTGGGCAGTTTTTTGGCCCGCCCGGCCAACCGGCCGGGCCGAGCCTGGCCGGGCGGCATCCTCACTCAGCTGTATATATAATATATATCATTTTTTCAAGTGTGTGTGTGTGTGTGTGTGTGTGTGTGTGTGTGTGTGTGTTTGTGTGTTATAAAATATCACCACAACTTCCCCTACTGCAAGGAATATGAGCAAGAGCGATATACAGAAAACCAAGTTGCAAAATCATGAAGAAGTCCAGATAGGTAAGAAGCAGAGAGCTCAAATGCACCAAGATTCCATCCAAATAAGACCGATACAATGAACTCGTGAGCCAATGTCCAGGCCCTTAGGCCACACCAACGCAGTATTCAATGTCGCTCCTACTGGCTGGCGCCCAGCGCCCAGCCTACTCTACTCATCCTATCTAGCCTATCTACATTCGTGCAACAGGCTCACTTCAACTTCGAAGACCAATATACATGACGTCAACACCAATGCCGACCTCCCACATACACCAGGTACGTACTCTTGACTCCCCTCATCACCCCTTGTCCACCCACACCTGCGCCTCCTTCCTGAAGACCACCTGCCCACGCCCCTGGAGCCCAGCTATGGCCGCTTGGCACCCCGCTGCCCTGCAGCGCCCCACACCACTCAGCGCACGCAAGCGCCCCAGTCAGCACTGGCGCATGCAGACACTCACGCTGTCTCGCAGCAGCGTGTCCGCATTGCCTGCCTAGGCCAGAATGCCCAAGTCTGGCTGGCCTTCTCCCTATATGGGAGATGCTGCTGCTGCTGGACTGTCTGGGCCTGGCCGTGGAAGTTTCCAGTAGCTTCTGGTCGGGCCCCAGTGTCCGCACCCAGGCCCATGTCTACAGTTGAGGGCCTGGGCCCTTTTCAGTTGGGCACACCCAGGATTTTCCAGGCCCCAAATGTTTGCTGTGTTTGCGTTGGCCTGCGGGGTAGATGTGACGACAATGCTGCATTCTCATTGGCCCGTGGTCACTTCGTGATGTGTCAGACTCACACTGCGGGTGCCCAGGGCGCAACCACCTGCGTCCTGGGCTCAACTGCCTGGCGCAGCTGCTTCTTCTGGAAGAGCCCAGGGTGAGGTCCAGGTTGCACTTCAACCAACTGGCGTGCAGCAGCTGTCTGAGACCCACATTGGAAAATGCTGAGATAAGGGCCTCTCGTGGATATTCAGGCCCGCCTTCACTTAGGTCGGGCACAAGGATTGCTGGGGGCCACAGTCCAGAACATATGCACGTTGGCTAGAGCCCCATGAGGACACATTCCTCACATTCCATCCCCCTTAGCTTCGCAAGTCCACTGAGATGCTTCTTAAGCAGGAGCCTTTCCCTTCAACCTTCTTTCATAGTCTGCCACAATCTGAGGTGCCGTTTCAATTAGTTCCTCTCTAGTGAACCATCGGTCTTCTTTTGGATCCGTGTGATGCCTGAATCTGACCCGGTATTCCCACTTTGGTTTCGGCAGTCTTCATATACCCACAGGCTTAGGAACAGGCACGTCTCTGTGCTCCAAAATGTCATCGACGTCCACGTGGCCATCCATGGTTGGGGGCAGCATTTACCTCCTGGATGGGAACTGCTGTGTCTCAGCGAAAGGTGCAAGCTTCGAGGCGTGAAACACAGGGTAAGTGCACAAGTGACCAGGGATTCAAATCACATACGAGGGATAATCCAGTTCACTACCCACAATATCCAAGACTTCCCAAGGACCAAAGTATTGAGGAATTAGTTTTCTAGAGATGCCGAATTCCTGTCCTAGCTCACTAGACTTAACCCAGACACGTGCCCCTACCTGAAATGTGGACTGTCATCAATGTTTGTTCTCAGAAGCAACCATTGCTTCTTGAGATTTCTGAATGTGTTCAACAGCTTGCAGCAGGAACTTCTCATACTGGTCTCCAAATTCTACAGTTCCAGGAGTTGCAACAGATCAGTTTTCAGGCAGGGAGGAAGTCTAGAGCAGATCTAGGCTTCCACCCTAGGTGTAGCTGATTCAGATTGACACCGGTGGTGCTGTGCACAACATGGTTGTACAGGCTGGCGATGAGAGGTAACTTCTCATCCCAATCATCTTGGCTGGGCTTAATGTAATGCCTCAGCAGATGCTGCACCACTCGGTTCATCTGTTCAGCTTGCCCGTTGGCTTAGGGATGATTCCCATAAGTCATCTGGAGCTGGCTGCCCATCTGTTCTGCAGCCTTCTTCCACATTTCACTAGTGAAACGGACATCCTTGTAACTAACGATAGTCTTTGGCAGTCCAAAGCCACGCACCCAGTTATCCATAAATAACTTGATGACGTGTTCAGTCCTTGCAGTCTCCGGTATGGCAATTAGTCTAGCGTACTTAGTAAGCCTATCAACTATGACGAAGATATGTCGCTTGCCACTCTTGCTGGTCACGAGGGTATCCATGAAGTCCATGGAGACACTTTGTGCCGGACCAGCAGGAATGGGCAAGGGCTTGAGTAACCCAAGCGGAGCTTGAGTTTGCGGCTTGTCCCGCTGACAGACTTGACAAGTCTGTACGCACTGTTTGGCTTCATCTAGCATACCAGGCCACATAAATCGCTGTACCAGATTTGCACTAGTCTTTTTATAGCCAAAATGTCTGAGTGGGGATCCGGGCCGCCCGGCTGACGGGAGGAGGCCCGGGGGAGGTCCCGGGCGGCCTGGCCGGGCAGGGCACCCTCCTCCCGTCCGTCATGACACTCTCCTAAAAACAAACTGCACAAAATCTCACTAGATGGAACAACTAGCCTCTTAAATCCTGCCTTTTCAAGAAAGAGTAACCCATCCACCATCACCAACTCTTCAGATGTGGCCTTGTCTTGGGCCTGAAGTTTGCGTATGTTGTCCATCGTGACAGAGTCTTCCTCGTAGGCTTCCACCATTGACCGAGTTACATCGTCAGATAAGCCAAACCCAGGGACTGACCGTTGGACTGATTGGACGGTCGGGCCTACAGACACATCGCACCTGCACCTGCCAGCCTGCCAGATACTGTGGTGCATTGGACTTCGGAACTTCGGCACCAGGATCAGGCCTTGGACGCTGAAACACATGGAATCCTTTCAATATTTATATTATTAGCGGAAACAAAACAAAATGACTGTCTAAACGCCGGTTGTCTAGAACACAGCACCCTCATCATGAATGTATCGGACCTAAAAAATTGCTTGTATAAGCACATGACTGTGACATTCAACCCCACCAATTTTCGGACGCTGTTGTTGAGCGCAGCCCATTTTTTTTTCTTCCATGCCCACCTCATTTTTTAAGGGGAGGGGTCGTGCGTGACAGCACATCCCAACCCTCCCTCCTTTTTTTTGCTGACCTCCTATTTTCAGCAATGTGCAGCACTATGTGCACACACATGGGTGAGCATGGGCTGCTCGCGTTTGAGCCATGTGCCCCACGTGCATGCTAAGAACAGATGAACCAAGTAGCCATATGATAGCAGACTGCATTCTTCTGAGAAATCCCGCAACCCTCCAAATTCACAAAGAGTTCAGAGAGGCCTTGCATGGTCTTATAGCAGTATATCAGCCTATCACATCGCTTTGAGCATCACCTGAATGACAGCAAGCAGTACCAGTGCACTGCATACCTTTGAGTATAGCTGAATCAAGCAGCCATATGAAACCACATTTGGAGCAATTCCAGAACCCTGCAAATACAAAACGGGTACAAGGAAAAAATGGGTCGCTCATTAGACAGTGTGCACCATCACGCCTTCCTTCAGAGCAAAGAGAAATGAAACATCAGCACCAATCAAGGTTGGGGAGCTGAGGAGTAGAACTTTTAGACGTACAACATTATTCGTCCAAAAAGGGATAAACTGTTCCTTTACAATTTGTTTTCACCACTTACTAGATGACCTGTTGCGGCTTTGCCCACCCAAAACGAAAAGAAAAAAGCACAAACGAAACAAAAACTGTCAAAAAGCATAATGAACTGTCCTATCCTTGACAGCAGACAGAGAAATCCGCTTGCAAGAAAACTGGAGGGAATACCTTCAATACCACCAAACCTTTTTTCTTTTCCCTTTTACTGGGAGTCGTTTGTTAGGGAAGTCGTTACCTTCTCAGCACCGTTTTTTGTTTTGTGCTGTGCAATGACCCACAAAGTTGCAGTCCGAGAACTCTGAACCTTTCTGAGAAAAGTTTGCTCCGTTGTCCTGTCCCGTTGATCGTTTTGCTAAAGATTTCAATACTGGGTTTGTTTGCTGTGTTTTCTGAATATGTTTGTGATCATCCGATCTTGTGTGTATGCCACGTGCTTTGTTGAGTTTTGACTCCGCCTGTGTGTGTGGGGGTGACTCTCAGTTCGGTGGGCCCAAATGGTGTGATCGGAGGGAGTTGTCTATAAGAGTTCCATTGATGTTAAGCAGGTCTTGTAATGTATGAATGAAGTAATCAGCATCCAATCTGTTTGCCAGTTGCTATTCGCCAGGGGTAGTTGTTGGAAGTACTGTTGTCACATGAGCCATAATGCTGGGCGTGCATCCAGTCTGTTTGCCAGTTGCTTGTAATCAGCATTTCCTGAAAGGCAAAGCCAAAGACGAAACCGAGCAGCACATGTCAGAATCACATAATGGACAGTGCGACAAACTCTCTCTCTCTCTCTCTCTCTCTCTCTCTCTCTCTCTCTCTCTCTCTCTCTCTCTCTCTCTC